AGCCCTGGGTGCCATGAGTGGGGGGAGCGCCCAGGGGACCCCGAAGCTGCTGGGTTTGGGGGCGCGGAGCCTCCGGCAGCACCCTCTGCCCAAAGGCAGTGAGCACTAGAGGGCAGCAAGCCCCAGCGCTGGGAGGGCGGCATTAAAATCATACGAAATAAATAATTAAAAATAATAAATAAATGGATGGACAGCTGGGAGAAGGGGATGGGTTTGAGTCCCTCCTCCTCTGGCAAGTGAGTCTTCCCCCTCCCCTTCCCCAAACGTACAAAATATATTTTAACTATCTGAGGTAAATAACGAGGCTGTAAAAAAAGCAAGAGGGGAGCGAACGTTCCCGGTATCGCCCCCCCTTAAAAAAATAAAGCATCATAAATAGTTTTAAAGAAAATATGAGGATCTCCCCCCCTCTCTCTCACACGCGCACGCATAAATATAGATTATATTATGGATAAAAAATATGTTTTTCTCTCCCGTAAATTCAAAAAGTGGAAAAATAGAGGAAGAGAAGGGGTCGTGCCCAAAAGGACGGGGCTGGGAAGAGCTGCTCGATTCTGAGAGCTCCTGCGAGGTGTCTCTGGGAGTGAAAAGAAAAGGGGAAAAAAAGAAAATCCCCCAACCGCAATCGGTAAGCGAAAGGTGCAGAGAGGCTGGGGACGCACACACACACACACACACACACACGTGTCAGACTTGATCATGGGTAGGTGGCGGGGAGGAGGGAGGGGGGAGGAATGGGGGAGGAAAAGCAGCCGCAGCACACGGTCCACGGTCCACCACACGTGTCAGACGTCACTGGGGGAGCGGGACCGGAAAGGCATGGTGGAGGAGAAGCAGCCGCAGCACACGGTCCACAGCACTTTCTGGATCTCCTGGTTCCTGAAGGCGTAAATGACGGGGTTGATCATGGAGTTGTAGGTGGCGGGGAGGAGGGTGACGTAGGTGTAGAGGGCCGGGTAGCTGTAATCCCCCAGGAGACAGTAAATGGCGAAGGGCAGCCAGCACGAAGCGAAGGTGCCCAGGATGACGGCCAAGGTGGCGATGCCTTTTCGGGTGGTGACGTAGTGGGAACTGGCCAGGAAATGTCTCTGGACGGCGATCTGGTGGGCGTGCCGGCAGACGATCTTACAGATCTGCACGTAGAGCTGGAGCATCACCGCAAAGACCATGAAGAAGGAGACGGAGAGGATGATGAGGTGGTTCTTCGTCAGGGGCTTGACGATGCTGCAGGCGGAGGGGTCCTTCAGGCAGTTCCAGCCCATGATGGGCAGGAGCCCGTAGCAGATGGAGGCTCCCCAGGTGAGGATCAACATGATGTAAGTCCTGGTGACCGTCCTCTCCGAGTAGTAGGTCAGGGCGTTGTAGAGGGACAGGTAGCGGTCAATGGTGATGGTCAGCAAGCTGCTGACGCTGGCCGTGAAGGAGGTGACCAGGAGCCCCACCGTGAGCAGGCTGACCGCCTCCGACGGGATGAAGTAGACAAAGGCAAAATGCAGGATCAACCCCAAACCGGCCAGGAGGTCGGCTGTGGCCAAGCTGCCGATGAGGAGGAACATAGGAGCCCGGAAGGTCGGGGTGTAGAAGATGACCACCACCACGATGGCGTTCTCGCAGGAGATAATGGTCCCGGAGATGCAGAGGACGACGTCCCACGGGTTCAAGGCGAGGGGTTGTACCACAGACTCCAGGTCCAAGGAGCTGCCGCTGCCGTTCCTGGCCGCGAACCAGCCTTGCTGGCCTTCGCTGGAGTTGGGGGGCCCTTCCTCCATCATGCTGGTGGAGGCTGACCTGCCGCAGCCGAAAGCAAGAGCAGCCCCCTCAGCACCCGCTGCCCGCAGCGGGGACCCACCCGGCCTGTCCCTGGGCCACCGAGCCAGGGACAGTCCTGCCTCCCCCCAAAAGTTGTCCCTGGGAGGGGGGCAGAGCGGCGTGTGTTGGGGGGGTGCTCGCTGGTTGCTCCGAGGGGATTTTGCTGGGCAAGGTGGTCTGGTTTTAATTCTTTTCAAAACGAAGAAAAATAAATATGTGAATAAAGGGGGGGGGGGGGTGGGGA